CGGTCGTTTGATCATTCTTTTCTATTAATTTTTTTCAAGGTGAGATTTGACATCGCTTAGACTGATCAAGATAGTACTAATTTGTTATTCTATTGATCTTTCCTGCTTTGGACCATCGAATTGAATTTGGATACGCGGTTTGCGTTTGAAGATAGTTGTCTCATGACGCTCGACTTTGATTTGTGATTGTCGGTGGCCTTTCAATATTTTTATCCCTTGTTGTGGTTTATTTTCTGATGCAATTAGATTTGTTCATATCGATCTTTTGTTCGAGTTTTTTTTGGATGGTTTTAACATTTTCTTTGTATGGTCTGTATATGGTCTCGAGTGTCTCGTTTCTTGTTATAGGAAAATATCGTAATTATGTGTTTAGCTTTCACTTATTGTTGCAAGTCTTTATTGTAATTGTAGATATTTCCTTTTATTTTTAATAAACTAATGGCTTTTATTTACGTCAAAAAAATAATTAAATGACTTGATTGATAAAATTTATAATTCAATAGTCAAAAATTGAATCATCTTAGTAACTATACATTTTATTTTATTGAATTAAATAGAACAATCCATATATGTATAGTTATCATCTGATTTGAGAAAAAAATATTGAATTACATGCACTAAAATTAGGATCAATTTCTTTTAATCAGATAATGACACATGTCACATTATAAGATTAAACTTATATAATTAAATTAAAATTATGATCAAATTGATACAATATATAAGTAATTAAAACCAAATATGTAATTATATAAATTTACTTAACTATACATGTAATTTTTAACAATTAAATTCTCCCACGTTGCAAGAAATAAAAAGGATAAACTACACCATATACCACTAAACTTTAGGTGATATATTGTTTATATCATTAAGCTTTCAATTTCTTCAATTATAGCACTAACCTTTGGTTTTGACTTCAATTATACTACTAGACCATTAAAATCCAAAAATGGTGTGATGACATGGACAAAACAAATTGTTTTGGTGTTAACTTTAGAGGTGTATCGGTTTTGTCACTAAATTTTTAAATAGTTTACTTTTTGGCACTATACTTTTTCAATCATCATTCGGTGACATCATCATCCGTCATCGATTGTCTTTCGCAAAAAGATTGGTACTAAAACATCCGCATTTCACTTCTCTTTCTTTCCATACAATTGGGTTTTCATGAAACCTACTCAAAATCGATGAAATTAAACAAAAAATCCTTCTATTTGAGGGGGTTTAAGAGATTTCTTAAATTTGAGGGGGTTGAAGGTGTTTGTTTGAAAATCCAGATGGTAAGAAGCATTATTTCGATAAGACAAGCAACATACCTCAAAACTAGCCTCATCGATTGGTCATTAGAGGATATCAAAGTATTAGCACATCGAACCTTTAAAAGAATTTTCACCGATTTTGAGTGAGTTTTGTGAAAAACCAATCTTAGGAGAAGAAATTGGAGTGCAATGCAAACATTTTGATATTGATCTTTCTATAAAAATGTCCGATGACGAGTGACAATTGACTGCCAATGACAACTAAAAAACTTAGTGCCAAAAATTGAACTTTTTAAATGTATGGTGGTAATAGTTGTGCCTAAAACGATGTCACTTTAAACATCAATAGTCGTGCCAAAATAAAAAAAATTTATCCACATAATCAAAGTGACTAAAAGATCCGTCCATATCATTATCTCTTTAAAATTTAATGATCCAATGATATTATTAAAGTCAAAACTAAAATTTAATATTATAATTAAAGAAATTAAAAATTCAATAATATAAACGATGCATCACCTAGAATTCAATGATATCTTGTATTCTTTACCCAATACAAAATATCATTTGCGGCAGATAAAATCTACCTTTATACGTCATCTCCTTATTATCTCTTTGAAGGAGAACGAACAATTTGTGCATCACAAAATATCGCACACTCTTTCGTACGTGAGAAGAGTGAGACACAACTAACCCAATTAATTTTCTTTTTTCTTTTTCAAATTTATTTGAAATGATGATGATAGAATCAGCTATGGTCGTCCGATTCCCCGCCGCTGCAAATTTCTACTCCTACGTCTTACACAATAACTCTCCTCTCGATACTTCGCCTTGCCTCTTTTACATTTTCGAAAGTCATAAAGTTTTTATGCTGTTTAGGGTTTCTCAAATTATCTGAGTTTATGAAGTAGTTCAACTGAACTGAGTCGCAACGAACAACTAGATATGTGTAGCTATTTTTAAAAGTTTTCTTTCATTTTCTTTGCTGCCAAACAGAGACTTAATCATTTGATGTTTATGGTGTGCATTTACTGTTTGTGTAGGTTCTCGTCCAACATGCAGCTCCAGGGAGGTTACTAGTTTCCATGTCACCTCTCGTCGGCTGTTTCCCGGTGGTAGCTTTAACGTAACTTGTTACTAAGGGTGCGTTTGGTTCACGGAATGTAAGATTACCAGTGAGAATAAAAGATTACCAGTGAATAGGATTACTGGGAATATTACATTACTTTGTTTGGTTGGTTTGGCAGGAATGTAAGATTGCAGTGTTTGGTTGAAGGAATAAAACATTACTAGAATATATATTTTACCAAATTGTCATTGTTCTATAATTTTTAACAAGTGAAATTCTAAATATTTAAATAAAAATTATTTATATAAAAATTATGTCTGTTGATAATATATTACTTGAGTATTTAAATATATCATGTATTATTTTAATTTTAATTAATATTAAATTTCACATAAATTATGTAAAATTATATTAAATTTTTACATCAATATTTAACTAAATACTTACATTGTAGAAACTATTTTCGGTTCATACGTGACGCATTCACTGTGAGGTTTTTATTTCCATTTATTTTTTATTTGTGTTTAAGAAGTTTTAATTTCTTTTATTTTATTTTCTCATGTTCGATTTTGTCTCGAATTGTTATTTTGCATAACAATCTTAAGACAAAGTAAATTCTTTCTTTTTCTTTAATTTTATAATGATATTTCAATCATTATTATTTTTCATTTCATTCTCGGATTAATGAATTTTTTCCAACAATCTTAAGACATATTATTATCTCATTCTTCTACCTTTCTTAATCCGAGATAATTAAGAAATTGTGAGAAAATCGAAATAACAAATAAATGTGTTTCGAGATTTATCATGTTGTCTTAACAAGTTTGTTAAAATCTCAAAGTGGACAAATATATCTAATAGAAATTATCGTGAACGTAACTTTGGTTTCTTTTTTTATCGACAAAAGTCAAATTTTATTAATAAAGATCAATCTAGTTCAAAGCCTCATTAAAAACCTCTATAAACCTAATTAGAGGAAAAGAGTACTTTGAACCAGAGCATAAGAAAACACACTAATATGCTAACTACTTAAAGCATATAACATCCAAGCAACAAGGGAATAAAACTTAACTAAACTACATAGGAATTACAATCTGGGATTTTAAACCCAAATCACTAGCAACCCTTAAACCTATTGGACACACACAAGGACAACAACTCTAAACAGGACACACCACCAGCAACAAGCAAACACAAACTAATTTAACACCACATGTACACTAATTATCAACCAAAACCAGTATAACAACATCACAACAAGGCCGCATTATGGTATAGACAAACTAATTTGCAGTAGCGAAAACTACAAGTAAAGAACATCTTGAACAGTAGAATAAACAATAATCTCAATAACTTCAAAACCTTTTATCCAGCAGAGAGCAGCCACAAAGAGCCTTACACCTCGTGACTTCAAAACAACAAGATTCCAAGGCATTAAAAATACTTAAAGACGACCACACTTTACACACATGAAAGCATAGACCTCGAGAGCTTCATCTTAGATGGTGTTAATCAGGATTTTAACGGAAGTCATTTTTGTAACTGCACTCGAAACCGATTGCCATTCGATCGAGCAATTTGCTTTCATGGACTCGCAGATTGGTTCTCCTCGTGATAACCTTTTCCTTGCATTTATCCAATACATTTTTTGTAGGTCTTGCAAGGAAGCTCCAATCACTTCAAGTGCCAATGGAAGTACTTTGCATTCATTAACAATCTATCAAATCCATAATTTGAAAAACATCAGCAAAGATAAAAGCCAGCTTAACTATATCAACTACTAATCCTTCAAAATCATTCTTAGTTAATTACCTGTTTGATCAAAGTTGCATTGCTAGTCGGAGGAATCGACTTTTGTCCGAAAGCAGAGTGAAAAAACTGGGACATAGATTTATTTTCCCTCAAAAACTCATTGACAATGGAATTCACATATCTATTCAATGCATAAGGGCTTACAATCACTATAGTTGCAATTCAAAAAGCTGGAGTATTGAACTGACATTATTCTCTGCAAATAAAATAAAGAACATTAGAAATCATAAAGAAATTAGATGATCGAGGATAGTTAAAAAATGGATGTTCAGAAGTCTGTAGCTCACACTAATAGTTTTCCTAAAATCCTTTGGATCCTCCTGACCCTCAAAAGGGTAAGCACCAACCAACATAACATAAAGAGTCACTCCACATGACCATACATCTGCCATCTGAAAAAGGAATGCAATCCTAAAATTAATCAGAAACAGAAAATGAGAAGACTTTATATCTCTGCTTTGGAAAGACTTAAAAGAAATCCAGACCTCAGTTTCTCTTTTCGAAATATCTTAGGAGCTATTGCTTTCATGATCGTTAAAATGAAAACCTTCATGATAAAGTGCACTACTAGTAGATATCCAATCAATTGATAAATATTATGAGCAATTGATATTTAACCAAACTTATAATCACCCTCAACAATTCTTAAAATATTATCAAGTAACATTTGACTATCTTTATTCTTTAGAACAGTAAGTTAAGGTATCAACTACTCCATCATAAAACTATTTAGCATAATAATACAATCATAACTGAAAAACCCTAGTCTCGTAAACAAGCCACTATCAACAATTTTTGAACAAAATTAGATAAAGACTAAAGTATCTTGCCTTCGTATTCTCTCCGAGAAAGAACTTTGGGTGCAATATAAGCTGGAGTACCAACCGTTGACTTGGGTCTTGAATGCAGCAGAGATAACTAAAAGGGGAAGAAGGAAACATCTTAAACAACAACAATTTTGACATGCATTTAATTATGCTGACTGTAATAATCCTATTTTCAGTATTACCTTTGAGTAACCAAAATTACAGATTTCCAGACGAGGAGCAGGGCTCCCATCCAACAAGGTATTCTCTAACTTCAAATCTCGATGGCATATTTGCTGAAAGTCAGAATGGGTAAATATGAGAAGCTTGCCCAAAAATAGGGACAACTGTAACATCCTGTAATAGAATGTTAAATCTTATTTACCATGGAATGACAATAGCTAACTCCTGAGATCAACTGTTGGAAAAAATATCTGGCCTGAAACATCACATTAGACAGATCACCGCTAGTGGAAAGCTAAAAACTATGAAGCATCCCACATCTTAATTAGACAGTAATGCATGATTATTCTATGATAAGATGAGATATTTCATCTCATACTAGTTCCTTTATCAATTAAGAGGGAAAAAAAGGAAAATAACAAATGTAGCCAGCAACAAGTAAAAAAGAACTCAAACTAAAGTAAACTTCATCAATCTCCCCCTTTTCTTTTCTTTTTGCAGAAGAGCATCTATTCAATAGGCAAACACATGAATTGTATTATGGAAGTGACTTGCACTTGGAGATGAAGCAAACACAGAGCCAAAGAATTGGGAAAATCGATTCATAATTCGAAAATGATTATGGAAATCAGAGGGACTTACGGTTGAGAGCTGAGGAGGAGGCGGATAAAGGATATGATTGAGAGGCGGATACTGGTCCAAGAGATAAGGAAAAAACATGTACTCGGTTCCCTGGTACCCTTTGATCCCATCCAATGTTCGCATCTTAGGGCCGAGACCGCATAACATGAAGTACTCAAATAAGCTATATACTTTCTTAGTTCATCGCCATTTATTTCCAATGAATACTAGAAGCTGTGCAACAATTATTTTATCTCCACCCATGTCTTTATGCAACAAATCCTTTAGTTCTGAATGAACAAATATTTCTGACTTAAGCTTCCATCTGCTTGAAACAGCTGCATCGGCATTCTCATCATCACAATTTTCTATCAGCCATAACCAAGAGGGGAGAAGGGTACTTTAGACAACGGGACTGAGAATAAACAAATACCTAAGAGAGATGGAGGTATGACATTCTCGAGAAAGCAAGAAAAAATACCATTGTTGGTATTTATTCATTCCCTGCACTTGGGAATGTAGTCCATCCAAACATGGGTATATTTACCCGAAAAAAACATTCCTCCCAGGAATGAAATATGACGTGAACCAAATGGAGCCTAAGTTTAATTTATCTTTTTCCTTTTGAGTAATTATTTGTTAGAAAGTTTTCCCCTCTTTTTTTTTCTCTCATTTGATTTCTAATTTTCATCTAATAACTCATTATTAGAATGAAAAAGAAATGAACTATGAAATTCTGTAACATATCATAAATTGACTGAAGTCTAATCCTGTAAGGGAAAAATAATTATTTTTTTCTTAGGGTTTCAAAAGTTTTTCGTGTTTTTTTTTTGTAAAATGTGGAGATAAAGAATAATATTTTTGAAATGTTTAAGCATGTGCTCGTTTGAGCGGAGAACTGGAAGGATGGGAGAAGAGAAGGAAAATAGGAAAAAAATAAATTCGAAGTGCCAGACATGAAAGAAAAAGTAAGAAAAAATAGAAAAAAATGATCGTTTTTCATCCTTATGCACAAAAGCAAAATATTCTAAATTGGAATGATAAGAAGATAGGAAACGAGAAAGATGTAAGTTAAGGGTTCAAAATTATATATTTATTAAATTTTTTATTTATTTTCTCTCATTTTTTCAACTCTACTATACAATGAATATAAATAATTTTTTTATTTTAATTTTTCCATCTCTTCTACCGAACAACTGCTATAACCTTAAAAAATATGAGAGAGAAAGAAATAGAGAGAGTTCCATTATGGAAAGGTCGTCGCGAGACAGAGAGAGTTAGCATCATCAGGGAAAGACCGCCTCACATTAGAGAGGTTTGGACAACGTTCGTTGATAACCTGATTAAGAGAGTATCCAGAATAACTATTTGGGAATTATTCAACTTTCACGGTATGGTAATCTGGGTATTCATTTTAAATGTAAACAACAAACTGAGATATAGAGCATCCACCTTCGCCTTTGTGTAATTCTCTTCTGAGAAGAATCTTATTAATGCCATTAAGAGAGTGAATGATATGTGGTTTGAGAGAAACAAAGTATCAATAGGAGTAACAAAGTACTAGAAGATTTGGAGAGGAAAGACTCTTATGGTAGGGTAGCCGAAGGGTCAAAATCACTACATGAAGATGAGAAAAAGAAAAACATGGATCGAGAGTTTATGTTCAGAACTCTGAAAGATGAAAGATCGTACAAAGATGCTATGGGTAATAACCAGAGGTCGCACAACTCCCATACAGTCAAAGGAAACTTGAAGGAGCCAGACATCGAGGAAGGAATGAAGAAGAACTTGATGAAGATGTTCCTCCCAATGAAAGATTCAGAATGGATTAAGTTCTCCCTTACAGGGATCATTAAAGCCTCATTCAGAATTGATTTTGTTTAGAGGGCTCCCTCTTTAATGATGGAATAGATGCTAAAATTGCAAGATGGGGATATATATAGAACTCTTGCATCATTACATTTTCATCGAAAAATTCTGACAATTGTCGCTTTGATGTCAAAATAAATTCCTTCTTCTCAATTAATAAATAAAGGAAATACGTAGTAAAGAGAAGTAAGGTTCGATTCTCAGGGACTTAGAAAATTCCAAATTTCTGTTTGAATGGTTTAAACCAGGCGATAAGTAGTAAAAAAAGGGTTTTGGTAAAAAGAGATTAAATAATTAAAAAGTGATTTAAAGAATAATAAAGAAAATAAAAATTGAAGGTTGAAAATGAATATGGTAAAACAACCTCAAGCCTCACTTTGGCTCAATTTCCTTCTGATCATCGAATTAGATTTTCCCTTCGAGATTCACGTCGGTTACTTTGTCTACAAGGGCAATCCTCGTGACTCTATTTTTTATACCGAATACCCAAGGCAATATTTGATTCTGGCCTTGGAAATTGATATGATCAACATCAATTGTCGTAGATCAATAACCGTTTAAGTTCGTGAAGACCGACTCGGATTGTTGTTTCAATAACTACTAATTTCGATCTCAATTCCCTCTTGGCAAGGCTATCTCGCCAAGTGTGTTCCTAGGAAGTTAAATGTGCTTTCAATAAGCCGATCATTCCTCCCACACATTTAATTGCAACAACATCTTGATCAAAGTCAATATTTGATTTTGAAAATTGTTTTGATTTTGAAAATAAGCGCAGAGATTAAGAGAGATATTTCGAAGTTATTCAAGTGTTTTTCAATTCTCACGTTGGAATTGAGTCATCGCTTCAACTCTCGGCTTATGAGAAAATTAGCTAAGCATGAAAAAAGTCATACTTAACATATTTAAAAACAAAACTTAAAATAAAAGAAAAATGAGAACTTGAAAAATAAAAGAGAGAACTTTTATAAAACTAGAAAGGAGAAGAAGAATAAATTATGAGTTGTGTGTTTAGGCTTACCCCAAGAGGGTATTTATAGCCTCTAAAACATATAGATAAACAAAGAAATTAAAATAAAAAATAATCCTAAAGATAATTTCAAATGTTTTCTAAAGTCAAATTTTAAAATTTAAAAATAAGTCTCCTAATATAACTCTGTCCGTCCATCTTCCAGAAGGCGCTGACTAGATCTTCTAGAAAACTGCCACTAACTAGACCTTCTAGAAACTGCCACGTCATACCATGTCATGCCTAGAGTCGTGTCCATGTCTCCAGCCGTGACCAAATAATAAAAAAAATGTAGAATGCACCCGTTTTACATTTAAATCTGGAAAGTAAGACCCTGCACGTAAATAAGTATAACACAACCAAATTAGTAAGAATAAATTCATAAGATCGAAGAATTAACGAGCAAATAGTATCGATTCAGAACACTCATCAAATTCCCCCTCACTTATCTCATGCTTGTCCTCATATATGATATAATCAAATTAGTCAAAAAATTCCATTTATCTTTCTTTGTCGAGTTTCACATTCAAGGAAGCAAGGTAGAGACCACAATAATTATTCAAGTCGAGATACCAGTCAATTGAACATCACCAATTGGAACAAGTTAAATGCAATTGTAACATCCATTCATTCATTAATCTCAATGCCCATAACTCAACACCTTATCGGGATTCACTCAAACCACTCAATGTGTTTGGGGGATAGAAACACTCAATGTCAGAACTGATAAGACATTACCATAAGACTACAAGTAAATCAAGTCTCCACTACTAATAATAACAAGATGCATAAATCAAAGAGTCTTTTATTGGTTGTAACATGGCTTAGGTAAAGGTGGGGAAAAGGCTAAATAATATGGCTAAAATTCAAGGCAAGAAACTAACAAATAACAAGTTCAACTCCATCAAAACATTAAGCACAACAAGATAAAAAGACAAACTATCAAACAACAACTTTCCTTTCGAAATAAATTTGATTTTTTTCGCATTCTTGTTGTTGTTTTGTTTCCCATTTTTTTTATTTCTTTTCTCCATTTTTTCGAATAACTTCTCTTTTTTTCTTTTTTTTGAATTGTTTTTTCTTCATGGAGCATACATCGGATTAACTGTTCTCTTGCCTTGAAAAGGGTAGAAAAGAGTGATATAAAATAAAAAAAGGCTCGGGTTTATGAAAATGGTGAAAATAAAGAATGGAAATATGCTCAAGAGTGGTTAACTAGGGGAAAATGCATGGGTAGGCAATTTTAGTGGGGAAAACGAAGTGGTTAATCCTAAAGTGTCCAAATCATTTTTAAGCATCATGTTCATGTGTAATCTCGACAGTATTTAAAATGCAGGTTCTAGAATACCAATGTCAAATTTGACACACTCAATCCAAAAAAATGAGAGCAAAATGATATGCTCGTAAAGGCTTAAATCTCACCAAATTGTTTTCATGCATTGAACTAAGCACATTTAAATCAACAAAATCATGGAATATCATAAGAAATCTAACTTGATCACAATTCATGCTATCCACTATCAACAGTAGCTTAACCTAAATAATTATGTGTTCCCAAACAATCATGTCATACCAAAAATATTAACAAGACAAATGAATTCAATAAAAAATTTCGCAAATCCAATAACACATACTAGCATCAAAACATAGAGATAAGCAAAAGAAAATTCAACCTAGACTTACTCCCCCTCACTTAAAGCGTTTTGTCTCAAAACGTAAAATTAAAGTACGAGAGAAGGAATATAGACTCCCGGATTTACTGTCGACCACAATCACGATCGCGGTGGG